TACAGATACTGCGCATGCATTTTACAAATTATTGCGGAGGCAACAGGTCATAACATTTACTGTTCTTGGCTGTTAGCCTCAACTTTTCTAGAGATTTAAAAAGAATATAATTCTGATCAGTATTTAAATTATGCTTTACAGCTTTCAGCTCGAGTTTAATAAAGAATAAACCTGTAATAGTCACAGAGGTTTCGAATGAACATTTCATCAGGTCAATCTTGATGTCCTTCCAAGCGACGTCCAACATTTAATCAGTAAAAATGGCGCTGAAAATGTACAACAGAAGCTGAAAAGTGATGAGGGTTTCCACTGTGGAGATGGGAGCTGAAAGGGGAAGGGACAGGAGTCGAAAACAGTTTACCACTAGTATCGAAGTACAGAAGATTCATATTCGAGGCTTTCAGAGAGAATGAATCTTAACTGATCTGGTGCAGTCGATGTATATTCTTGCCTATTCTCGAAAGCAAATATTCAAAGGCCGTTAAATAACGAGTACAACGCTGGCTGTCATTGGCACAGTGAGGCATTTTAAATTCTTCAATACCGAAAAAATGTTGGCTTTCTAAAGAGTGCGCCTTAGTCTTGGAATGTCAATGACAACTAATGGCATCTTGCTGTTCTAAAGAATTTGCATCTGTTTCCCATACAAATCGTGTCATAACGCATCATATCCTCTAACCGATTTCATAAATAACAAGAGACCTGTTGGAGCCAACTAGTTGTTGAAATTCCTACGAAAATTTGGTCCAAGGGTGTTGTGGATTTTATAAAAAGGCTCTTAAACGTTATTTCTGATGATAACGTTTAACCACAGCAAAGAAACCCAGATTTTAGAAACTAGATAGAGATGACAGATGCTCGCTCTTCTGGGTTTTGTAGGGAAAATGCATGCCTAGGAGTAATAAAGTTTGATTTAACAGACGAAACTGGGCATCCGCGTTTACAGAACACTATGCCATTAAATCAAATGTGAGCGTCATCATTACGGCAATGAGGACGTTAGATAAGATCGACAGTCCGAGAATACGGTGGAGTGACATCGCGAAAGAAGAGGTGGACCATTTCAGAATAATTATAATGTAATGATGGTGACACTACTACAAAAATTACGTTGGTTCGGCATCAAAGAATTTCAGGAAGCTGTACGACATACTGGAGGATCGACCTAAAAGAACTAGAACGAAAATCATTGTCTCTCAATGGTATTCCCACAGAGCCAGAAAGCATCTACGGTCATGATACGCCATGAAACTTGTCACGTCAGCTTCAATCAACGCTGTAGCGATGTTCCTCAAACGTTTGATGTTTGTTTACCATCGCGTTAACAACGTGCAGGAGCTGATAATCAGCCATACGAGAAAACTGTCAGAACAGTGAGAGGTTTCTTTGGTTTAAACAAACGACTCAAAAAGAGAATGGAGATATTTCTAGAGCCTTGCTCATTTGGGAAAAGTGAATTTGGCAAAGACGCAATGAAGGACAATATAAAAACGTGGAAACGTCTTTGAGGCAGACCTGCTGGCGACTGCAACATGACCTTCGTCACAGCAGCAACCGTTGCCTAAAATCAATTTGAAGCACTGTGCCTAAAGGTCGGACATCAAAATCTGGGCAACTCTGCTGCTTACGCTCTGTTAGACTTATAGACGAAGAGGAAACTAGAACACAGTGACTAAATTATAAATGTTATAAACAAGCCAAATCCAAAGATTTTGCCAAGCCAGATCCAAAAAAGGACCAAGCGAAAGCGGACTACCTTTAGTGATGGCCTGACGTTTGTAATAGAGGTCGTAAATGTAACGAGACTTTTGGTGATGAATTCGAAATATTGGCCAGAGCGCCTCGACGCGTCTTTTGCCCTCGTGCGGTTCGGCTTCGGCTAAAATATGCCAATGATATAGTTAAAGAAACAGCTTTACATTTTATTGTGGCATGTACAAAGTTTGATAAAATAGTCGTAACAAAAATATGTACATTATATTTCTATTTAGCAAAAATCGAGTCAGGATGGTGCATTCAACGGACCCGCAACTCAGAATCGTTTGCAATTTTAATGCAACAGCATAAAGGCAATTCACTTCATTTATAATGCCTACATACACGCGTCATATCATGGTATTTAAGACTGACCGTAAGAAAATCTATAAATAAAAGTCGTTGAATCATTAGTTCATTAGCGATATGGATGCAGAAACTTGACACTGTAGGTCAATTCAAGAACAGAGGTAGCAGCAACCTTTAAAGAAAGAAGGTAGGTAAACCCCAGATCTATTGCATCAAGTCAGATCATGCTCGGAAATAATATGGGCTGCCAAGGACTCAAAAACTTAAAACTCAAAATATTCCATTTCGGCCAATTGTTGACTGTATGGGAAGCCCGATTAATAACTTAGCAAAGTACTTATCAGACTCTCCGGAAAGTAAGTCATATTTTATAAACGATTCCATACATTTAAAAACGAAGCTAAATAACATAACGATTAACCACGATAAATTCATGGTCAAATTCAATCTAAACCATCTCCTCACGAACATAACGAATAAGGAAGAAGCATCATATGTCAAAGAAACGCTCACTAGCGACACGGCATTAAGCCACTGCACAAAAATGAACCAACAGAAGATAGTCAGCTGCCTCAGATTTTGTACGGAAATAAATGGTTTACTCTGTAGATAGGACATGCAGCTTGAGTTCACCCACAAGTTCACCAATCTGTCGTATCCTTGTACGATTATATTAAGTATGTTATCGAAAAATTTGCCATGGAAGCTCTCAATAACTAACATTCACTCCAACTGTACGGTCCAGATATACGGTGATGATGCCATAGTGATAATGAAAAACAACGATCTTTCAACATTCTAAGGCTGTTAATCCGTCGATTTAAATGAACTGAAAATTCCAGAAGATTCCATTATTGCATCAATGACTCTCCTATACTAAAGAAGAGACAGAGAAGACATAGAGAACTGGATAGAGGTCAGTTATTATTTAGTTATCTACAAGTCAGAACTTGCTGACGAACAGGTGTCTTAAAACCTGGACGCTGTACAGCCAATGAAGTAAGCAAGATTACTGGATCTCCTCAATCTGAATAACTCCGAATTCTAGAATTGTTCGTTTCAGAAGACGACGATAGCGGCAACAGCAACAGCGTACTGGCTGACTTCTAGACTAATCGGATATGACCGACAATTAGACATCGCGTTTTTGTCACCGTTTACCATTGGTATCTATCCACAAAATGCGGCACAATCAGAATGTCCTCAAAAGGCATCTGCGAAGGTATTCTCTGAAACAAGTAGACCTGATGAACAGTAACAAATATCGCCGCATAAATGATTGCAACAAACATGTTTCACTGTATAGAAAGGGCAAAGAGGAACGAGGAAAAGCACGTACCCTCGCGCATCTTTTGTTCAAACTCGTCAAGAGTGGGTTCGATCAGCTCCCAGCCATCGGGCGGTGCCTTCCGACTGCGTCGACACTTTACCATAGTGGAAACCTTAAAAGCAAAGCAATGTCAGAACAGGCAAAAACTCGGCAGACACCACGTATTCCTTGAGAATCTAAGATGCAAATAATATAGTAAATGTTCAATAACAGTTAATTGTAACTTTGCTACTCTTACTTGGTGCAAGGCGATGCCTCAAATCTGATGCTATGCTTAGCAGTTAGCTTGTTCATGTGAAACCCACCGAAAAGCAGGAGAAAAAATAAAACTGGATCTTTACATCGTCGTTCCCGAACATGGACCATGGACATTTGGGAAATGGGCAACACGCTCAAAGACAGAACGAAAGATTATGACAAACACCTCAAAAGATGGAACAGCGGTGATCTAAGGAAACGTGAACAAGATCAAAAAGAGAGCGGCTAAAAATAAACAAGGACCCAACCAAAATAAAATGATAAGGCAAAATACAATCGCTCTGACAGAACATACACTAAAGAGGCTCATATTGTGGACTAAAAAAAATGCAAGTGGTACTGAGTGAAAGAAACTACAAAAACACATATGATACAAGCACGTGAATGTCTCAATTGGGACAATGACGAGAACTTGTCAAGAGAATGGAAGAAAACGAGAAAGGAGCTTGTATGGAAGACCTGAGACAGAATTGCAGCCAATCATTATGGCTAAGACTACAGTAGATATAAATTTCTATGTATCAATTCATGTCCTGTGTGAGAAACAGATAACAGTCTTCGCGCGTCTTACGCCATAGTTTAAGGCAACGTTTAAAAAATAAGATAAAAAAATCTTTTCTTTATCCAAGCGTTTCGAAAGAGCACACCAGAGTCTTATTCATGCTAGTAATGCACAAATGAAGGGGCACAATCTTATGAAAGTTTATGACATTTAGTGTAGTCATTCCGTTCATACCTGCAGAATGAAGGCTTTTTAATCTACTATGAAATGGACAATTCGTTGGGAAACTTCATCAGTTGGAAAAAACGCGAGATGAAAGTCATTTAAAAGACTGAGCGCAACGACTGTGATTAAGATCTACATAGGGAAAAACATACAGAGATTACAAATAAAAGTTACGGAACATCCCGCAGTTGTGAGGAACGGGAAAAAGAACATCGTTTCCCATGCAGTCTACTTTGGACGATCCCCTGGTTCGACATGTGACAATTCTGTTGATATGAGCAGAACAAACATTGAGCTATTAATTAAAGAATCGTTACACACGTGACCCACAAAAGCCAATTCTGTAACTACTGTAAGACCTCAATTAGATTCAGTCACAGCTGTAATGTAATCAGGAGTCAGCCTTTTGAAAAAACTAGCAGAAGAACGGATACTATTAGTCAAATG